TAACATCTCTGTTGTGTGATACGGTTTTGGAGAACCGGGACATTACAAGCGGGATTGTCTGAGGGCAGGAGCAGCTAGGCAAGCGGCTTCTCAGGCTAAGCGTGCAGGGGATGCACTGGAACCAGCGGCCAAGAGGCAGGCCATCATGCTGAAAGTGTACGCAGCGACCGCGGATGGGAGTGGAGATCCGAGCGATTCTCGACCGATCACTGGTGAGTTTTAATACTTACAGTTTTCTGAGTTCTGTCTGTTGTTTGTGTCTGCGTGTTCTGTTAAGTGTCTTAGCATTCTAGGGGTTGAATGTGTAGAGACCTTATTAATGTGTGAGGTAGAGACCCATGTTCTGTTTGACTCTGGAGCGAGTCATTGTTTTATGAATCCATAGATGATTGGAAAAGGAGAATTCCAGAAGGACCCCGGAGAGGATTTTGGTTTAGTGAGGGCGGCTGGAGGCCAAGTGATGTTCTCACTAGGGATGGTTAAAAATATTTCTGTCTGGATTGGCAAAGTTAGTATGCCAGCAGATTTGGTAATCTGCAATGTTAAGTCTTATGATGTCATCCTCGGGATGGATTGGCTAAGTAAGTACAAGGCGCATCTGGATTGCCACTGTGGAAGGGTGAGGTTCAAAAGAGATGGCAAAGTTCTGGTGTATCAAGGAATAAGACCGACTTCTGGTAGCTTGGTTGTGTCAGCAATACAAGCGGAGCGTTTGATAGAGAAAGAGTGTGAAGCATACCTGGCGACAATATCTATAGATGAGGTTGGACCGGATGTGGAATTAGGAGATATTCCAGTGGTACAAGAGTTTGAGGACGTTTTCCAAGCTTTGACTGGAATGCCACCGGCTCGTTCAGATCCGTTCACGATTGAACTTGAACCAGGGACAGCTCCGATATCGAAAGCACCGTACAGAATGGCACCGGCCGAAATGGCTGAACTGAAGAAGCAACTGGCTGAACTTTTGGACAAGGGTTTTGTTAGGCCAAGCAGTTCACCATGGGGCGCACCTGTTCTGTTCGTAAAGAAGAAGGATGGAAGCTTTAGGCTTTGCATCGACTACCGAGGGTTGAACCGTGTAACTGTGAAGAACAAGTATCCACTTCCAAGGATAGATGAGTTGTTGGACCAGCTCAGGGGTGCTACTTGGTTCTCGAAGATTGATTTGGCTTCTAGGTACCACAAAATACCAATAGACGAACCAGACGTTCATAAGACTGCCTTTAGGACAAGGTATGGTCATTACGAGTTTGTGGTCATGCCGTTTGGCTTGACGAATGCGCCTGCTGCATTCATGAAGTTGATGAACGGCGTGTTCAGGGAGTACTTAGATGAGTTTGTGATTATTTTCATAGACGATGTCTTGGTGTATTCAAAGAGTCCGGAAGAGCATGAGAAGCATTTGCGGATTGTTCTGGAAAAGTTACGAGAACAGAAGTTGTTTGCTAAGTTGAGTAAGTGTAGCTTCTGACAACGGCATATTGGGTTCTTGGGTCACATTGTATCGAACAAGGGAGTGTCTGTGGATCCTGAAAAGATCAAGGCTATTGCGGATTGGCCGAGACCCGAGAATGCATCTGATATAAGAAGTTTTCTGGGCTTGGCTGGCTACTACAGGCGTTTTGTGAAAGGCTTTGCAAGTATGGCTCAGTCCATGACATGTCTGACTGGTAAGGATGTTGAGTTCGTTTGGACGGCTGAGTGTGAGGAATGTTTCTTGAAGCTGAAAGGAATGCTTACAAGTGCACCAGTATTGGCTTTACCTGAGCCGGATGAACCGTACACGGACGCTTCTGGGAAAGGACTAGGTTGTGTCCTAATACAACATGGGAATGTGATTGCATATGCGTCAAGGTAGCTAAGAAAGCATGAGGCGAACTACCCTACGCATGACTTGGAGATGGCAGCTGTAGTCTTTGCGTTAAAGATATGGCGATCTTACTTGTATGGTGGGAAAGTTCAGGTGTTTACCGATCATAAGAGTCTGAAGTACATCTTCACTCAACCTGAGTTGAATTTGAGGCAGCGGAGATGGATGGAGTTAGTCGCTGACTACGACTTAGAGATAACTTATCATCCGAGAAAGGCTAATCTCGTTGCTGATGCATTAAGCCGCAGAAGGGCTAGTGTATCTTCTGCAAAGGATGTGGAAGGAGTTATGAATCTCCTAAGGATGTTAAGGTTGAACGTTTTGTCTGAGGAACTGGAACCGTTTGGCTTGGGAGCTGTGGATCAAGCTGACTTGTTAACAAGGATTCGTTTAGGTCAAGAGGAGGATGAGAATCTGAATAAGCTTTCACAGAGTGACAAGACCGATAATCAAACTTCCAACAATGGGACGATTGTTGTGAATGGCAGAGTGTGTGTTCCTGACGTGAAAGAGTTAAGGGAGGAAATTATGAGGGAGGCACATCAGTCGAGGTCTTCTGTGCATCCGGAAATGACCAAGATGTACCAGGATCTGAAACGGTATTATTATTGGGTCGGGATGAAGCGGGACGTAGCCAAGTGGGTGGCTAGTTGTCCGACATGTCAACTGGTTAAGGCTGAGAATCAAGTTCCAAGTGGTTTGTTACAAACATTACCAATACCGGAATGGAAATGGGATATGATCACAATGGATTTTGTGTTGGGTTTACCGAGGTCTCTGAAGAAGCATGATGCGATTTGGGTCATTGTTGATAGACTGACCAAGTCTGCTCATTTCTTGCCTATGAGGAAAACAGATGGAGTGGCTAGGCTGGTGGAGTTGTATGTCGGTGAGATCGTCAAGCTTCATGGAGTGCCTGCAAGCATTGTGTATGATCATGATCTGAAGTTTACTACACGATTCTGGAAAGAAATTTAGAAAGAGTTTGGGACGAAAGTGCATATAAGTACTGCATATCATCCGCAAACGGATGGTCAGTCTGAAAAGACCATCAGGACGTTAGAGGACATGCTGAGAGCGTGTTTACTTGACTGGGGTGGTAACTGGGAAAGTTATCTACCGTTTGCTGAGTTTGCGTATAACAACAGTTACCATATGAGCAATGAGATGTCTCCGTATGAGGCGTTGTACGGAAGGCCGTGTAGGACACTGCTATGTTGGACCCAAGTGGGGGAGCGGAGTGAATTTGGATCTGCTATAGTCGAAGAGACTACTAAAAAGATCAGGTTTCTGAAGGTTAAGCTGAAAGAGGCTCAAGACCGACAAAAGAGTTATGCTGATAAGTGTCGTAAGGACTTAGAGTTCAGTGTGGACGATCTGGTTTATCTGAAGGCTATGACTTACAAGGGGAAAAGCCGAGCAACGTTTGATGCTAAGTTGAGTCCGAGGTACATGGGACCATACCGGATTCTGGAAAGGATTAGAACAGTGGCGTATAAGTTGAACTTACCGCCACAAATGAGTGCTTACCACAATGTGTTTCACGTGTTGCAGCTGAGAAAGCACATAACCGAACGTGAGACTGTGATATCTGAACCACCTTCAGAATTGCAAGAGGATCTGGCCGTGGAAGGTAGACCGATCCGAATGGTTGACAAGAAAGAAAAGCTTAGGCATGGTAAGAGGGTCAAGATGATCCAAGTTGTCTGGGACTGTAATGGGGATGAGCAAACTACTTGGGAAGTAGAGTCTAAGATGAGTACAAGGTTCTCGAAATGGTTTGAGAAACTTCAGGAGGAAGAACCGGATTCGAGGACGAATCCAAACCAAGTGGGGGAGAGTTGTAGCATCTGTATCCGAGAAAATCTGGAATGATCGAGCCGGACAGGAGGTTGTCCGAAGGAATGTGAGTTCAGTCAAGGGAAAAATCTGTATGGATGGGAGGTACAGACTATAGTCGATGGATGACTGGGAAATAGTCGAAGGATGGTCGGGCTGGCCGAGCAGGACAAACCATATCCGAGAGAAAAATGGTTCTGTATGAGAGAAAGTGGACTATGTCCGAGGGAAAAAGGAAAATAGCCGAGGCGGTTTGGTTTTAGCCGAGTAAAAATGGGCTGGGCCCGTGGGCTGAGAGTTTGGTAGGATGAAAACTAATTTCTTGTGTGGATGGTCGAGTGGTTTAGACGATAGCCGAGAGAACTTAAAGCTAACCGGGATAAACCTGACTGGAACCGAGAGACGCCGGCTATAACCGGGTTATCTAGGTTTTGCGAGTATAAAAGTGGATTTCTCTTTCTCGGGGGAGCCACACTTTTTGAGAGCAAAAGAGCGAGAGAGAGAGAGAGATTAGTCGAGAGATTACCCGAGAGATTCTGATTATCCAGAGAATTAGCCGAGAGAGATCAAAGTTTTGCCGGCGATTCCAACTATCACCGAGAGATCGAGTGTTCTGTCCGAGTTTCTGTCAATCTGATTCGACCATTCGTCCTGATTTGAGGGTTTTTCGAGGGAATAACCGAGTTTATCCGAGGATTTCTGAGCGGATCATGAGATATCCGAGAACACTTCGATTCGTCCGAGAGAATCTGGTAAGTGTTCGCTTATTCTGATTTCTGTTGAGTTGCTGTCGAGTAATACTGGACTGATCGATCTGAATTGTATTGTTTCCGAGGGAATACAGATTCTTGCCCGAGAAAAAGTGCACGGGTTGAGAGATAGCCAAGAGGTGTTGAAATTTTGCCAAACCAGTCTAAGCGATAGCCGAGAAATCGTAAATGTGTCTGACTATCTCTGTTTCTGATCGAGAAATCATCGAGATTCATTCGACTGAAACATTTGTTTATGTGTCTAAGGTGAGTGCATGAATGTGGTCTGTATCTAAAATCGTTTGATTGCTAGATGATCTGATTTTCATTGATTGCTTGTATAAGTTAGTGGTTTCTGCTTAGCATGATTAATGTTTCTGTGATTTTGAATAGTTAAGTGTGAACCATGGTCACTAAATGATCACCTATAAATCTAATTTTTAAAATATATATCACTAAAATATTGACTATCGAAATCTATATCACTAAATGAATTTTTTTTTGTTTTTTTTATAAAAAAAAAGTAAATGAATAATTGACTCTATAGCATAAAAAATTTGATTAACTTTTAATCTTATATGGTCCGTAGAATGTTTTCGGTTTGTTCAGTTTGGTGTTGGAAATAAACACGGTAATCAAATTTTCTTTGATAAAAATGGTAGTATTAGTAGTAAAATCGAAATTCGAGATGAATGATTAATTCGAAACAGACCACAGAACCAAAACACATTTGGTCTGGTTTGATATTTAAACCAACCAAATCAACTAAACCTGGAAAAGCTGAGCACTAAACATACTCTGGAGAGGCTGAATCAAAAATCAACATGAGTTGTTGCTTGACTTCATCGTCTGCAAACGTTGCGTGTATGGCGGATCTTGCCAATGTAAAGGCTTCTCTCTTACTAAGACCTTCATATCAAAGTCCAAAGGAAGAAAAACACAACTAGATTCTTGAAAATGTACTTTCTTTGTGACTATAACAAGTTCTAAATCACAAAAACTTTGTAGTCTCTGAGCTCAGATTCTGAAACTCACCAAAGGAACGAACAGCGAGAGAATACTCATTGGTGAGGCTAGTGGAGAAAACTCCAAAATCATTAGTGCATAGAATCAATGGATGTTTTGCATTGTAGAGATCAGCTGTTACAAGATCAGTGTAAGGCCATGTCAAGATCCATGGTTTGATTTAGACTTCGATGCATCCCAAAAATGACAAAAAAGAAAAGATCGTGGATCTAACCAAAATGGTGTATAACGATTGAAGATATCGACTTGGTTATAATGTTGGATGTAAGAGATATTTCAACCTGCAATAAAACAGCAAAATGTCACACTGTTTATAAGATTATACGTCAATGAAACAGCAACTGTAAATGCAAATTTATTACCGAAATCCGGAAAGATTTCAACTTTTCCCAATCTTCATCTTCAAAGAAACAGGCATGGCCGATTCGATGCGGTTTGAAATCAAGCATGGCTTGGATCTCTTTGAATTGGGCACCTACAAAGCACTACGACAGAGAAAGTAAGTAGACAATCTTTGAGAAAGAAAAAGTTTGAAAATCGGTTTAATGGATTTTTACCTCTCCACAGTGAAGAGTGATGTAAAGATCATTGTCTTTAGCTTATTGTAACGCAGGCAAGAAAGTGCTCCTACAAGAACATGAAAGATCTCAGAAGCAACTTATAAAAACAGAAGCAAAAGGATGAACATGAAGTAAGGAATTTTACAAACAAAATTACCATTCTCCAACAAGAGGATTCCCAGAAACATCAATACCAACAACAACACCTTCATTTCTCATTTCCAACGCAAGCTTAACCTTAAAGCGAAGAAAGGATAATGTTTTAATCATATTTGTGTTATAAGTTCTCGAGTAGCTTTTGCATGTTTTTCAGACACTTACAGTTTCCATTGCAGACTCTGTTGTTTCTCTACGGTCAATGCTAAGAAGAAGCCTAACATAAATCTTCTTCCTTCGAACTATATCACACGCATTGTGTAGTTTTTGAGAATTAAATTCCTTAACAAAATCAACATCCACTTCACTGACAGATCTCAGATCTTCTATTACAGCTTCCATGTAAGAACGTTTACTCATACCTATCGAATCGTTTCTCTACAAAGACAAACAAAAACAAATCTCATTTGTAAAATGTTGACAAATCTAACTTGGAGCAATTGCAAATATGCAAGATTTGTGTTTACCTTTGAAGTTGTTCGTAACTCAAGATAAACCACATTTTCTAAAGCAAAGTCTTTTACAACCTGTCACAGATAAGAGATAATTCAGAACACTTAAAATTTTCACAGCTTAAGGGGTTTTGACTTGCAAAGGATAGAGAGAAATCAGCGCGAGAGAACATAAATTAAGTTTATCAAATAACAAAAATCGGAAGAGGTACATGGCGATAGAACGGCATGAGAGAAGCGCCTCCTATGTAGATCGGCAAGCTCCATAAGGATTCATCGTTTTTGGAGACTACACCAGAAGATGTACATGGGATCGGATGAATATCCCGTCGGAAAGGTTCGATGGTTTTGTTTTCTAATTCTAATCGATGAACAATTTTCCATTTTTAAATCCAAAATACCAGGTCATATTAGGTCACTCAACGTTAAATTGTACACATTAGCAATTTTTAGTAAATGTACTTTTCAAATAATAGTTAGGATAAATGTCAATTGTCTATGTTTTAGTTATGTTTATAATTTTGTATTATAATATTTTTATAATTTTAATAAATAAAATTTAACATTTAGTTATCTAATAGACTTCTAAAGTAGATTTCTAAAGATTGTGCTGTTTTCTAATTAATTTTTTTTTCTAGATTTAAATTGATTCATTTGTATGAAATTTTGTATTTTATAATGTCAAATATATATATGTCTTACTTATGTTTATTAACTTTTTAGAAATTTATTTATTTTATATTTTGTAATTAATTTTTTAAAGCTACTTATGTAGACTTCTTTAGTAGTCTACAAAAATAAACTTTTTTAGAAGTCTAAAATAGTAGACTTCTTACGTAAACTTTCTAGGGATAAAATCGTTAATATGGCGGACGTTTTTTGTTTACTCATAAAAGATTGAGCAGTAATTTCAGTATCTCTTTGAGTTAGTTTTGCCAAACATTCAATAGAGAGTCTAGACTTCTTAAAAATTCTAATTTTTAGGTTATTTTAAGCAATTCTCCCTTGATAAAACCTCGGTTATTGAAATATTGATCTGCTTAAATTTGTTAAATATTTTCACCCATTGCAGACTGTTAAGTTATTTTAACACCAAAGCACACGACATCCATCTATCGAGGGTGAGATTGTTTATAAGCTAAAAACTGTATTGCATTCTAAATGTTCAAACAAATTATTATTACATGCTATAACTATATTGTAGGTTAAATAAAATATGACGGAGTGAAGTAAAAAAATCATATTATTAATTGAGAAGCAAGTTGGGCTGTGGTTGATAATTATGATGGTTGATTATTTTTTACTCCTTATATGAAAAGACTCTATTTACCTTTAATGAAACTAGGTATATAACTCGCGCTACGCACAAGTCTGTATTAATATTTTGGTTTAATTTTTTAGCTACTATTTTATAAATTATTAAGAATATAATATATTTATAAAAAAAGAATTTAATATATAATGTGTAATTTATTCTATTTTTATTTTTAAAATTTTAAAAACTATTAAATAAAATAATAACAATGACACCTATCGAATTATCCAACTTTGACATACATATACATTTGATTTAGAGAAATATAATCTTGCTAAGATTTTGGTATTATTTTCTGTTTTCCATAGAATTTCTATACTTTTTTTTCTTGAAGGTTTATGTGTTCAATATTTAGTTTTTTATTGAAAGTCTTATTGATGTTGTGTACCACTGTATATATAATCCATGATTCATGTTGATTCGCATTTAATTTTGTTAGAAAACTGTAATGATTATGCAAAACCATTTTTTACTTCTCCATCATGTCTTCCAAAGTTTTATATTATATTTTTATTCAGTTTTGATTGTTTTAATTGTTAAATCGAGTTGTTGTAGATTTTTTTTTTTAAATTGATAATTGATAATTGTTACTTTTTTTTATATATGTATTGTTAATTGTTAAGTTTTTATTTAACTTTAAAATTTTTAAACTATACTAACATTTTCTGATATAATAAATATATTGATTTGGATCAATCAGATTGAATTTACTTTTTTTGTTGTACATAATTTGTTAAATTAATTTTTAATATTTTAATTATACTTAATAATTTTTTGTTTGATTTAAAAGCTGATGTGGACCAATTAAATCAAGTTTTTCCGTCCTAATCATATTTAACATTTTATTTAACGAACATGCTGATGTGGATCAATCATGATTGAGTTTTTTAATCTCATGTGGACGTCCTCAATGCACTATGCCATCAACTTTTATATATTATACTAGGTATATAACTCACGCTACGCGCCAGTCTGTATTAATATTTTAGTTTAATATTTTTTAGCTATTACCTTTAAAATTATTAAAAATATAATATATTTATAGAAATTTTTATTAATATAAGATAATTTAATATATATTGTGTAATTTATTCTATTTTTATTTATAAATTTTAAAAAACTATTAAGTAAAATAATAACAATGACACCTATCGAATTATCCAACTTTGGCGTACATATACATTTGATTTAGAGAAATATAATCTTGCTAAGATTTTGGTATTATTTTCTATTTTCCATAGAATTTCTATAGTTCTTTTTTTCTTGAAGGTTTATGTGTTCAAATAATTAGTTTTTTATTGAAAGTCTTATTGATGTTGTGTACCACTCTATATATAATCTATGATTCATGTTGCATTTAATTTTGTTAGGAAGTTGTAATGATCATGCAAAACCATTTTTTCCTTCTACATCATGTCTTCCAAGAGTTTTATGTTATATTTTTATTCAGTTTTTGTTAAATCGAGTTGTTGTATATTTTTTTTGAAATTGATAATTGATAATGATTACTTTTTTTATATACATCTATTGTTAATTTTTGATTTTTTTTATTTAATTTTTAAGTTTTTAAACTATATTTACATTTTCTGATTTAATAAATATGTTGATTTGGATCAATCAAATTGAATTTTTTTTTCTTAGACATAATTTGTTAAATTAACTTTTAATGTTTTAATTATACTTAACATTTTTTATTTAATGAATATGCTGATGTGGACCAATCAGATCGAGTGTTTTTAATCCCACGTGGACGCCCTCAATGCACTATGCCATCAACTTTTATATATTATATGATGATTAACAAATTAATATAAACTAATTTTTAATTAATTTTTTTGTTTATTTTAAATCTAGATTTTCAAATTCGAATTTATATCATAAAGATATTCAGTTTACTAAAAAAGGTAATTAGCATAAATCACAGAAAAAATCCTTATTATTTCCTTAAATTAATATTGATTGTTTAACCTACTAATATTTTTGACTAATTTAATTGATTTATGTGGCCACAAGTAAAATCCTAAATCCTTTAAAGCTGGGCTATTTTTTTTTTTTTTGTCAATAGCCTCAATTCTTTAAATCCTTTTAAAACTCTACATATATTAATCAATGTTAAGCTGATATGAAACAAAGATCTTTTGGTTTTGATCATTTTGGATTGCTATGTTTTTTTTAAGCAAACTTTGAATTTTATTAATCTTAATCCGTCATTTTACATCAAAAGAAGAAAATTATTTATCATATTTAATATATGCAACAAAACAACAAAGCATACATATAAGTTTTTACCGGATAATATAAAAGATATTAGAAGATAAGATATACATAATATATTTTGCTTTGTCCAAAAAATAATATATTCATGAAAATTGTAATTTTCTAAATATATTAATTTTGATTTCGAATAATTATAAAATCAATCTTTTTATCTTTTAATAAACTAATATTATTACTTTTTAAAACATTTTATCAAACCCCGCAAAACACCTAGTTAATTAAAATAGCGGAATTGGTCTGAAGTTCCACCACAAATCTATAAGGGACTTTCTTTAAAACAAAGACTTTGTCAAAGCTAGAAAACGCCACCTTCTTTTGATCGACCACAATTATTTCCTAGTATTATCTATTCTTAGTATGCTTTGATTCAAACCTCTCTTCTTCATCACTCTTCTTTCTTTCTCCGTCATTTCATCCATCTAAGATTGTCTTCGTCTTTGTTCATCTTCAAACTCTCTCTTCGTCTTCCCTGAGAGGGCGCGCCTCCTGTGGGCGTTCCCTAAAACAGCCATGGAATGCACATCTCTCGTGCTCTTTTCCACTCTATCTCTATATTTCATGGCTGCTCATAGCTTATCAGAGACGGAGTCTCTCTTGAAATTCAAGAAATCTCTTGTTATTGGGAGAGCAGGTGCCTTCGAGAGTTGGGATAGAAAAAATCCTCCGTGCAAATGGACTGGTGTCTTATGTCATAATGGCTATGTTTGGGGGCTACGGCTAGAGAATATCGAGCTCCAAGGCTCTCTAAACATGGAGGCGTTGACGGGTTTGAAGTCTCTGAGGTCTCTCAGCTTCAGGAATAACAAACTTACAGGTTCATTTCCGGAGTTCAAGAAACTAGGTGCCCTGAAATCAATTTACTTGTCAAACAATCAATTCGATGTAAAGATACCGAGGGATGCATTTGATGGGATGGGATGGTTGAAGAAACTCCATCTCGAACACAATAACATTGGTGGTGAAATTCCAGCATCCATCGCCGAATTTCCCAAGCTTTTAGAACTTAGACTCGATGGGAATCGTTTCACAGGAGAAATACCCGAATTCACACATAAACTACACAGGTTAAATCTTTCATACAATGCATTATCAGGTCAAATTCCAAACATTTTCAGTACAATGGATAAACAAATGTTTGAAGGTGCATCAGTTTTTCTTATTCCCTTTATAACTATATGGGATTATGATTTAGTTTATTTGTTACACTGAATGTTTTCTTTTGCAGGGAACAAAGGATTATGTGGGAAACCTTTGAAAACAGATTGTTATTCTCCTTACAACCTTTCTCCAGAGCCTAAGGAAAACTCCAAGAAAAAAACATCAAAGTTTTTGTACATTGTAGCCGCGGCAGTAGCAGCAATAATAGCAATACTCATAATTCTTGGACTAATCATCATGTTATGCCAGAGGCGAATGAACAATCAGCCATTGTTGTCACCAGAACCTGGACCATCAAGTTTACAAAAGAGAGCTGGAATACAAGAGGGTGATAAGGGACAAAGTAGTTGCCATTCAAAAAACCGTACTGCAAAAAGGATGATTAATACCACAAAATTGTCATTTTTGAGAGATGACAAGGAAAAATTTGAGTTGCAAGATTTATTGAAAGCATCTGCAGAGATTCTAGGAAGTGGGTGTTTTGGAGGATCATATAAGACAGTTCTTTCAAATGGATTGATGATGGTCGTGAAAAGATTTAAACATATGAATAATGCAGGAACTGAAGAGTTCCAAGAACACATGAAAAGACTAGGGCGGTTAAAGCATACAAATTTGCTACCAATTGTGGCTTATTACTATAAGAAGGAGGAAAAACTTTTTGTTTGTGATTTTGTTGAGAAGGGAAGCTTGGCTGGTCATCTCCATGGTATTATTTTCTTCTCTGTTTACTTAGAAAACATTGGCAAATCAGTTTTTCCTTACAAATTTTGTTTGCGTGTATAAAGGTCATATATCATTAGGGCAGCCAAGCTTGGATTGGCCAACAAGGTTGAATATTGTGAAAGGTGTAGGAAGGGGACTTTTATACCTGCACAAAAACCTACCTAGCCTAATGGCGCCTCATGGTCATCTAAAATCATCCAATGTTCTTCTCAATGAAAATTTTGAGCCTCTTCTGACAGACTATGGCTTGATCCCAGTGATCAACGAAGAAAGCGCACAAGAGCTCATGGTGGCATACAAATCGCCAGAGTACTTGAAACAAAGTCGCGTGACAAAGAAAACTGATGTGTGGGGGTTCGGTGTACTAATCTTAGAGATTCTAACAGGTAAACTCCCTCAAAGTTTTCCGCAATTTGATAAAGAAAGTGAGGAGGACATACCAAGTTGGGTAAATTCGTTTTTCCAAGGAGAATGGACGCAAGAATTGTTTGATCAACAAATGGGAAAAACCAACAATTGTGAAGGAGAGATTCTCAAACTCTTAAGGATTGGATTGGGTTGTTGTGAAATAGATGTGGAGCAAAGGTTGGATATAAGAGAGGCTGTCGAGAAGATTGAAGATTTGATGAAGGACCGAGAAGGAGACGACGACTTTTATTCAACTTATGCAAGTGAGGCTGATGGGAGGTCATCAAGAGGAGTGTCAATAGAGGGAATTAATTTTCCATTAAATGATACAAGTCATCAATTAAACTTTTCATGACAAAGATTTTGAGGACAATTTTTCTTTTTTTCTTTTTTGTCTCAAAACCGTAATTTTCTTGGACGTCGAACCTCAACCTGTAGAAGCCCACGAGAGTCTAAAACCGTTTGCTTATGAGTTAGCGTGTCATTTTGTTGTGTAAACTATCTGCAAAAAACGGAAACATTCTCCTTTGAAACAATTACAGAAAAACTACCAGAAAGGACATTTCCGAATTACGATTGTACTCTAATTTTTTTACTACTTAGAGAATTTATAATGGTAAAAACTCCAAAAAGATCTCAAACAAAAAACAAATTATTATTTTAATGTAATTATATTTTATGTTTTAATTTTAATTTAAAAAGAAAATTTAAAGCAATAATAGAGAAGCAAGTGTGATATAGTGCTCTTAATATATCTCAAAAGTTTTTAAATGAGAATCTGATGCAGCGCACCCTTCATCTATCATGGGCTATCATCAAATACGATATGAGCTTTTTACGTGTTTGACAAGTTAAGGTGATTTAGTTACATATTGATTTTCCTTTTCTTAAAGTTACGGGTATTTACAATTCCTTTGGGATTAAGGTTTTGAGACTTATCTCTTTATTATAAAAGGATCGTTCCACTACAAAAAAAATTGATTACATTACATAAATTGTATCACAAAACTAAATGATATAAATTTTAAATCTATACTATTATTTGAGAAGTAGATTTCCGACGTGTCAAGCTCACGTTTGTTCTCAGCATATTTTAGGCATCGATTTTCTAATTATATCCTTAATAAAAACCGTGATCTAATTATCAGTTTAGTGCTATACACGGTTTGTTGAATTGAATGAATGGTTAGCTCGATAGAGATAAGATTGATTGTTCGGTTAGTTGGATAAATAAGAATGGTTCTTTTTTCCAAATCGCTGATTTATATGGTAGTCGAATATATGAATTATTTGGGTAAGGATGGTTTCATTTATGAATTTATGAATTAGTTGTATAAGGGTGGTAGTCGGATATCAAATATTTATGAATTTATGAATTAAATGGATAAGGGTGGTAGTCGAATATCGAATATATAAATTATTTGGGTAAGGATAGTTTCATTTATGAATTTATTTATGAATTTATGAATTAGTTGGATAAGGATGGTTTTTTTTTTCGAATTTTATGAATTAGTTGGATAAGGATGATTTTCTTTTTTCGAATTCGTTTATGAATATTTTTAGGTCGCCCTAGGTTACCGAGTATGTATAAATACTCTTGCTTCTTTCACAATCTAGACTTCAAGCCATCGCATTTTCTAGGTTTTTGTCTTTCTTAGTGTTGGCTTTGTTGTCTTCGTATATATTGATCTTCTATATTTATATATATGTATATCGCGTTCTTAGCGTCTTAAATTGTTTTAGTTCGTTATGTGTTCGTATTCGTGTTTTGTTCGTATAAATGATTCTAACTCATGTTGTTTTTATGTTCGTCTTTTCTTTGTACAGGCTGTTGGTCGCTGCTGCTTTGTCTTCTGGTTATCAGGGTAAGTTTGATGTGTTTATTGTGTTTTTGTATATGTTGCTCTTTTATGTTTATATATATGTATATATCGTTTTCCTAACATGCTATATGATTATGACTCGTGATTTTTTGTAACCGTGTTTTGTTCGTGTACACAATCCTAACTCGTGATGTTTTCGTGTTCGTGTTTTTTTGCGTAGGCTGTTGATAGTTGGTGCTTGGTCTTCTTGGTATCAAGGTAAGTTTGATGTATTTGTTGTGTTTTCATATATATTGCTATTTTATGTTTGTATATATATATTGTTTTCTAGCGTCCTATATGATTATAACTCGTGATTTTTTATATTCGTATTTTGTTCGTGTAATAACCCTAACTCGTGCTGTTTTCATGTTCATGTTTTCTTTGTATAGGCTGTAGATAGCTGCTGCTTGGTCTTCTGGTTATCAAGGTAAGTTTGATGTATTTATTGTGTTTTCGATGTTTTCCTGTCTCTCGAAATAATAAGAGTATATTGTTTTGTTTGAAATCTTTTTCGTTAGTCTGTATATTTTATTATTATTTTTTTGTTAATTTTTTTTGTTTACCTCTTTATGTAGGTTATTCATTGTTGTTCGCATCATTGTTGTTCGCTAAGTTCGTTACGTTTTATCGCATAATCTCTTCGTTTGGACCATTCCTGGATAATATTGTATATCTTTGCTGGATGGCAATGATATGTATGATATTTTGTTTGTTACTGTTGATTTTGTTGTTATATTTAACTGTTTCTCTTATATTGGATGCTTCCGCAGGGTGCTATATTATTCACGATGCGTTATACTGGCTAGTTGGTCGTTTTGTAGTTATTTACATGTATATCTTTGAGTGTTTGTGTTTTACGATCAGTGATCTTAGATTTGCTTTAGGTTTATGACATTTTGTGAAAGTTGTTGACTTTTATGCTGACAGTTGTAGGAACTTATATTCTACCGTATCATCTTTCTGGTGCGAATATCACCGCAAATTCAGTGAAATTTACTGCTTGGATGGAGTGTAATAAGGTTAACCCTAATACAATGCAATTGACTTACACAGAGTTTGTGTGGGATCGGAATAGTAAGTGTTGGAAGCCTAGATACCGTGGTGGTAGCAAACTGGGTCGTTTGGCATATTGTCCTGATACTTCCGGAGAGATTTATTACTTGAGGCTTTTATTGCTTAGGGTAAAGGGTCCGATATCTTTTGAATCTATAAAGACAGTTGCTGGTGTTGTTTGTCCGACGTTTAAAGATGCATGCCATGTTTTGGGTTTAGTCGATGATGATGAGGAGTATGCTGCGGCGTTGTGGGAGGCAAGTTGTTGATACGATGGTTCGGTGATGCCCATTTTGTTTAGTGATTAATAAATGTGTTGATGTTTTTTTACTGACATATGATCCTGTTTTATGATTTTATGTTTTGTTTTCTTTTCTATTTTAAAGACTCAATTATTATATATATCTACAAATTATCCAAATCATCGATATCTATTCGAGCCTTCAATATCTGTTTGGTATGTTTTTCTGTTTAGTATGTTTTGTGGCGATCGTATTTTAATTAATATTGGTTTTTGGCTTTATCAGTGTACTGTGTCTGTATTGTATATTTGAAAATTTTAATATCTATGATTGATATATTTCAAATATACTATTTTTATATTGTATAGTTAATGATAATTCACAAGGTGGTAATGGATATTATATGATTAAACTATTTTTAAATATGTAATATATGTGATTCATATATATCGATCAATATATGTCAGTTAGAGATTTATAAATTAGTAATTGATATATTCGTAATATTAACATAATTGGATATATTCAAATCTTTATTCAATATATTTAATATCCAATACGGTTATATAGTACGTATAAAATGTGAAAGTTTTACATTTGTAATATTAAAATTATATGTATTATATAATATATATTTGTATATATTAACATAATTGAGTATATTCAAATATAATTATTCAATATACTTAGGGATATCCAAAATGGTTATATAGTTCGTATAATATTGGAAATTTTTATATATCTAATATTACAATTACGATTTTTATGTATAGTTCTCCAACCTAAATGGCGTGTTGATTTCCGTTTGTTTGTATATTCAAAAAGATACACGTGACAGATTACTATATATTTGATTCTATTATTATGTTGATATTGTCGTGTCATTTAATTATTATCTGAAACTAAAGGTTTTTGGGCCCAAGTTACCGAGCATAGACATGTAAACCCTAACTTATTACTCTATTCTTAAGTTGGATTGACAGGGTGTATATATTCTCTCTAATTATTATATTATATTCTGCTACGATAGGCTTGACAATAAATAACAGCATTGATAATAACCTACTTTTGAATTATGGTTCTTTCTCTCTACGTTGTTGTGTTGTCTTCTTCTTCTTCTGTGTTTCCTGAACATACTACCCGGTCGTTGATGCGTGCGTATAAAGGAACTGGTATTTTAATTTTATTTTTGACATGAATACGTTGAGATGTGGTTTGTGATGGTTATTATATATTTCATGGTTTCTTTCCGTTTTTTGGAAGATCTTTTGCTGAGTCGAGTTTGGCGACATTTTAGTGATAATTTACGGTCGTATAACGTGCCCTATGTGTTTTTAAATGCTCGAGGTATGCTCGTGGATGATGTGTTTAGGTTATAGTGTAGAACACGTGTGCTGGCTATATTGTTCCTTGAGCTTTTAAGCGGTTGCTCATTTATGTAGATATGGATGATAGACGTTATGCACATCACGAGGTATGGCTCGGCGAAGACGATTTTGGTGACATGGATCGTGATTTTTTGGCTGTGGGCTTGGAAAGCGAGATTCCCGAGTTATCTGTTGGTAGTTGTAACGCTTCCGATGTAGAGTTGGTAAGAGACTCTCGAGTTATCTGTGACACTTTTCGTTGCTGTTTCATGTCCACTCATTGACATTGGCTATCGCTTTGGTATGCAGTTCACACAAAAGGAGTTCTTGCATGGTCCAAGTTCTTTTGGTGTCTCGCAATTGAGACCTGGTTTTGTTGGGTCAGTAGTTTTCGTGAAGGTGTTAAGAGTTTGGTCTACTTCGTCATGTCCGTCTGATAAAACATTGAATTTCGTTTTGTGCAATGATGAGGTTTGTTTATATGATCTGTTCTTGTATTCTATGTTATTATTTTTGTTGTTTGTGTACTCCATTGTTTGTTTCGTTATTGTGTTTCAGGGTGTGAAGATTTGTGGAACCGTTTATGCTGTTGATTATGACCGTTTCTTTCCTATGCTGTGTGAGAGTGTTTGGGTTACGGTTAGGAATTTTGTTGTTATTGATTTAAATAACAATTCCAGAATTATATCCCATCGCAGTGAGATGCTTTTGATAGGTCCGGCGGTTGTTGATGTGCATGTTCATCCGTTTGATCAAATTTTTTTTTAATTTTATAAGCTTTGAGCATATTCTCGCTAGGGCTCCATCAGATCGGTCATTGGTTGGTATGTTATTGATTAAATGTTCGGATGCTACAAAATATGGCGTTGTTTTGGTCAGTCTTAAATGATGATTGCGTTTGTTTGTGTTTTCTAGATTTAATTGGAGAGGTTGTGTGCGTAAGAGAGTTGAAATTACCTAATAAAGATACTGGTGGACATGCAGTGATTGCATTTAAACTAAGAGATCTAAGGTATGTTGTTGTGTTACATATGTCGTCTCTGTCTGACATTTTTGATTGCTAATTCATATGATAAACGTTCTTCACTTGTGCAGCGATGTGTGTATTAAATGCGTGATGTTTGGTGGTGATGCTCAGAAGTTTTCTAATGACTGGTCTAGATATATCAGTGGTGTGGTGGTTTTTGTT